GCCCCTTTGTGTTGCCCGACAACGATGAGTTGGTCTATGGAGGGCTGCCTGGCTTCCTCTGCACGGGTAAGACTCGGAGGGGGACCTGGAAGCGTCCCAGGGGCGAACACCTTCCCTTTGCCTCGCCGGGTTAGGGCGAACGGGGAGAGCCTGGAGCACACAGAGAGCCCCGTCCACAGGCATTGATCTGCTTCAGGTATGAAGCTAATCCTGCCAGGAAGGGGAGGCCGGTGGCAGCTCTGCCCTCCTTATCAATAGAGGGACTTGTGTTGGGTGTCCTGCAGAGGGAACACAGCCCATCCCCAGAAGCAGCGAGCTGATTTTATCCAGTCCCAAATGGGGGGCTGAAATGTCGATTACAGGTAGTTCTTGACTTACAACAGTTCATTTAGTGACCGTTTGAAGTTACAACGGCACTGAAAAAAGTGACTTACGACCATTTTTCACACTTACTACCATTGCAGGATCTCCAATGGTCATGTGATCAAAATTCAGACACTTGGAAATTGACTCATAGTTATGACAGTTACAGTGTCCTGGGCTGATGCGATCCCCTTTTGTGACTTTCTGACCAGCAAAAGTCAATGATGAAGCCAGATTCACTTAACAACCATTTTACTAACTTAACGACTGCAGTGATTCACTTAACAATTGTGTCAAGAAAGATTGTCAAGTAAGGCAAAACTCACTTAACCAGTGTTTCACTTAACAACAGAAATTTTGGGCCCAATTGTAAGTCAAAGACTACCTGTATGAGCCATGGTGGTGCAGTGGTTAGAGTGCAGTACTGCAGGCTACTTCTGCTAACTGCTGGCTGCCAGCAGTTTGGCAGATCAGGTTCAAGGTTGACTCAGCCTTCCCTCCTTCCGAGGTGGGTAAAATAAGGAGCCAGATTGTTGAGGGCAAGAGGCTGACTCTGTAAACTGCTTAGAGAGGGCTAGAAAGCACTATGAAGCAATATATAAATCTTAAGTGCTGTTGCTATTCCCCAGACAATGATTGTGCCATTGTGTTTCCAGGGTTGTTGGAGAACCAGCTGCCTGACCAAGAAGCGAAATGCTGTGACGTCCAGTGGGACTCCTGTGATCCCCAACCGGAGCGCAGCTACAACACCTCCACCAAATCCACCGAGTCGGAGTCATTCCACAGCCCCCGCCATGAAGCCCCCCATCACCAGCAAGAACAGCAGCAGCAGCAGCAGCAGCAGCAGAGGAAGAAGAAGGAGCAGCAGCAGCAGGAAGAGAAGCAGCACTATCACCTGTATTACCATCACCACCAGTACCCTCCCCCGTCTCTGCTGCCGGTCTCTGCAGGGTCCCGCCTCAGCCACAGCAAAATCCGGCTCTGTGTCCTAGTCCTTATGCTCCTGCACACCATGGTCTCCTTCTCCGGGGTGCACAACAGTGACGCCTTGAGCCTGGAGGTCCTTCCCGCCGTGGAGGAGAGCATCGCCAGAGACGAGTGACCGAGCGCGAGGGCAGCTCCTCAGGCAAAAAGAAAGGGCGGGAAAGGCGCCTGTGGGGAAGGGGAGGGGGCATTCCTTATACCTCTCTTGGGGGCACCAGTTGGGTGACATGCCATGCACAGGCCCACCCCCATGTGGAAACCCCCCACTAAGAGCAACTCCCCCTCGCAGGGCCGCCCTGGGATGCCCAGGGGGCCTGTGTGGAAACACGGCCTCTAGGAGGGCTCCATGAGCTCCTGGCATGAAGCTGCAGAAGCCAGGCAAGGAAGGGGCAGAAGGGAAGGGGGGAGCAGGTGGCCTCCTGAAAAGGCCAGTGCCAGGCCCCGGGGAGTGACCCCTGCTGCTTCTGCCTCCACGTATCCTGGGTAAAGTTCCTTGCTGGGATGTTTCCCCTCTGGAGGGAGTAACTGGCCTGTGGCAGTGACCGAAGTAGCCTGCCCAAGATCCAAGTCCTGCGCGAGGCCCATCCCAGGCAACCCAGGGGTTGATGACAGGGTTCCTCCCTCCCCTGTTTCTTAGACCTCTCTGGCCCCTCCCCCCCTGACCAAGAGCTGCAAGAAGTGCTGAAGGGACCTTCCCAGGCTTCCTGTTGAGCCAGGGCCCAGGAGGAGGCAGCAGCAGCAGCAGCAGCAGCATCTAGTGGAGTCTGGAGTTCCACGTTCCCAGAAGGGCTGAATTCCTTCACTGTCTGCCTCTCATCTCTGTCAGATGTCCTCAAACACATGAAACACTGTATTTGCCTGAAAGAAAGGCGAGGCTTTTCTCCAAAGGGATTACTTTCAAAATTGGAGGGTCGTCTTAGATTCGTTGAAAATGTGCCAATAGAAGCCATTTCTTTTCTGTTCTTTTTCATTGAGTTAGTTTTGCAGGAAAAGGGGGCTTATCTGCCATGCGGGCTCAGGAATTCTGGGAGCTGAAGCCCACCAGTCATAAAAGGGCCATGGTTCCCCACCCGTACTCTAAGAGGTAGACATGCTGTCTTTCGCACAATGGTAGGAAGTTAGAAATGCCTGCTGTCTCCCTGTTTCTAGCACCCACTCAAGAAGATTATAGTTGACCTGAGATGCTAACAAATTCTACAAATGTCCAAGCAAACACCTCTAAATAGGCCCACGATCTATTTCCTCTAAGAAATACCAGCCCAGTACTCTTTGGGGGAGGCAATTGATAGGCTTGTCTTGGCTCTTCATATAATCTTATTAATTGACTCAAGCCAAGTCCCTGCAACCAGTTCCTGATTCTTTACAGAAATTGAAGTCATGTCCTTATTTTTGGCTCAATTAATCCTCTACCAAAACACTACTGGGTTTGGGTCCACATTCATTCCTCAATTTGAATTTGCCCATGCTCTCTCTGCCCGCATGGGCCCATGGGAAAAATGGTTCTATGCAGACCCAATGCAGGCAGGCTGTTTCTGATACCCAAACATTCTCTATCTGAAAGTTAAATTTTCATTCAAGGAAAAAGGGAGATGCTTAAGAGATTCTTGACATGGAAGTATCTCTCTGTCTCTTTCTGGCTTTTTAATCTTATATTAAAAAAAAAAACATTTTTGTCTCAAACCTCCCATGAAGGCCCTCACACTCAGAAATGTGGATAGTATCAAAAAGACTATTCTCCATCAGCAGCTGGTGTGTTACATATCACCTCTGAGGACAAAGAATTAGTGACAACAATGAGGGGTATAAACACGAGAGAGAAAAGTGAGCAGCACTGAATATGTGATTTGTACCAATAGAAGAGAATATTTGCAGCTAAGGATTGGGCTGCGGGGTCCTTGGTGCTCTCTGAGCTTGGTGGCTTTCTTGCAGACATTTCATTACCCAACTAGGTAACACCATCAGTGTACTGATATCAGTGCATGAATTGTCTGCAAGAAAGCAACCAGATTTGGAGAGCACCAAGGATCCCATAGAATCTAGGTGGCTTGCTTGGATCTAAAATAGACTCATTTAGAGCCCACTTAGGTCATAAAAAAATTAACCCTTGTTTTTGGCTTCTCTGTAATGTCCCACAAACCTTGAAGTGGAATTATTTTAAAATTTCCAGAAATCACATTCATTGTGGATTTTTGTGCTCTCTGGTTATAGGTTGGGCCACATTCCTTCCTCCTTAAAGAAAAACTACTTGGAATTGAATAATCATAGCAAATCACAGGAAGACTATATTGTTATCTATTAATCCAATTTATTATCAAAGTCAACCAACACATTGGGTTATTCTGAGGTCTGAGCTTTAGAACCTTCTGGGAGATACTCATCCATCTCAAATTTATGATCGAAGTCCTGAATGCCCCAAGAGAGTCATCCTCTTAACCCCACTGGATACTATGTAACATGAAAACAGGAGGGCATCTCGATCCAATCCACACAGTGCATCTGCCTCAAGTAGAAGCTCCCCACTCGCGCTCTCTTTCAGATTAAATTTGCCTCTTGAGGGAAAGGAAGAAGAGGGTGATGATAAGAAAGGGAGGAGACTGATCACTCCAAACCAACGTATGCTTTCCAGAGGATCTCCAGGTAAGGCTCCTCCCAAGCCTGTAATGAGGTGCCAGGGATTGAAGTGCCTGCACCTTGTCCTTGCAAAGGTGTCCCCCTCTCCACATGCTTTGGTCCTTCTTGGTGACATCATTTCTATAAGAATTGGCTATCACTTACAATATGGAGTTTAGTTCATGATAATACATGATTTATTTTTGAAACCATATGTTGCATCATGGTGGCAGAGCACAGTGAGATCAAAAGAAGGGATAGTTTTCAGTCCTATTTAAAACATACGGAAAACAAAATTCTGATACTGAAGCAACGCCTGGTTTCATCTTTGCAATGACAGAGTCAGCCTCTTGCCCCCAACAATCTGGGTCCTCAGTTTAATGACCACAGAAGGATGGAAGGCTGAGTCAACCTTGAGTGAGTGAGACTCCAGCTGCTGAACTGCTGGCAGTCGGCAGTCAGCAGAAGTAGCCTGCAATACTGCATTCTAACCACTGTGCCACCACGGCAATACAGGTTCATATGATGTTAATATAAAAGCAGATTCATCTAGTATCTCTGCAAAGTGCATCATTCCATATTGTTTCTTTTACTATTTGACCCAGTGACCCAAATGCTTCTCTGGCCAGTTTTTGACTTTGAATATAAATTCTTATTGTTTTCCTTTAGTTTGTTTTTTTTGCCACATGCTCTTCAATTTTTACTATTTTATATGCATCCCTTATTATCACTGACTTTTTCTGCCAAAGTCTGGGCCCCTTTTTGTTCTCCTTGAAGTGAATTTTCCAATTCCCAAGGAAATCTCTGAACTTTTACAGCTATGTGGATGCTACTAAAACAGCATAGAAGCCTTTTTCTGGACCTGGTTGATCCTTCTCCTCTAAACAAAATACATTCTACTCCAGTTACTGTAGTTTGAAAAAAGACTCTGGGCATAAAGAAGGGATTCAGCTCAAAAGCATTAAAGCAGTCAGCACATGGTCAGGAAGCATGAAACACAATGGCCTGGCCTTCCCGCACCCCTCCAGCCACAGGGACAGATCACCCCAACAAAGTGTGATTGACCAAGACTGAGCATGAATCAGGAATTATCAGTACAAAAATATGCTGTCATCTTGGATTTGAAATAAAGGAACCACCATTTTTTTTTTGCTGGATGAGTTGCAATTACTTCTGTGGCAGCACCAAATATAGTAGTAGGGACTAGGGGTGGAGCGGGGGAGACCAGGCCCCTGCAGAGAAAGGCAGAGAGGGCAACTAGGGAATCTGAAGAGTTTGCAGGTGGGCAGGGCAGACTTTGCAGCAGGAGGAATGTGCAGCATGTTGAAAGTTTTGAGCTCAGATTCTTGCAATTGCTGGCTGCAGTTTAATGGGAGACAATCTACCCTACACATACGTTCTGTATGAGAAAAGAAAGGTTTTGATTCTACACAATTTACACATCATTTTCTGTATAGACTCCCCCCCCCCAATAGACTTTTACCTGGAGAAAGTTTGTAGGGAAATGACCCTTGTCAGGGATGATCAGCCTGGTGGATGCAACTGGATTTTTAAAATCATATCTTAGGTGAAATGATTGTGGGGAGACAGGTTCAGTCACAAAATAGCTGCACCTGGGATGGGACCAAATATAAAACACCAATTTATCAGCAGGTTACTGTTTCCCCCTCCTGGTGGGTGCCAAGCAAAGTGTCTCCTGACATGGATTTGCAAACAGCATTTTGGAGAAATCCAGGCAGAAGTTTTTAAAAGAACAAATAGAGGAACAAGAGAGGTTGAATGAGGGAATGAAAACATTTGATATTTGTTTGTGACTCCTGCTTGTTGGGCGCCAGACTCACAAATAGTGCAAGAGGGTCAAATGAAGCACAAGCCTTGGGAAGAGAATGTTCTGGCTCTCACGGATCCTGTTAAATTCTGGGAATTGAATTCCACACACCTTCAAGTTGTCAATGCTGAGAAACACGGTTGTAGGCAATTTCTAAGGTGTCCCATGGAAATAACATCTGGTGATAGGTGCTCCCTCAGAAATAATGACCCTACAGGATTTTGATTGAGGGCATCTGAGAATCAGACTTGCAGGTTTGATAACAAATCCATAGAACAGATCCAAATGTGTTTATTTAAAAAGCTTCTATGCCACATATTAAAATTTAAGTGGCATAGAAGCATTGGATACTTATTGTTCTTTAAAACTTTCAGAGTATCCATTAAACATGAAAAAGCTTATGAATGTCACAAGATACGATATTTCAACTCTGAATTCCAAAGTTCCCAAGAAATAGTTAGGTTTTAGATTCTTCCTAAACACTTTCCAAATACATGTTTTGTAGTTTCAAAAGTTCCTAAGGCTAGCCAGACCAAATGGAGGCATCAGAAGATGTTTTAATTGAATAGATTGCCATTCTGCATTTTAGAACACCCAAATTATTCATAGAACATAGAATCATAGGATTTGAAGGGATCTTGGGGGACATCCAGTCCAAACAGCTGCTTGAGCAGGATTTTTTTTTTAAAGCTCCAGTGATGGAGCACCCACAACTTCCGGAGGTAAGCATTCTACTCATTAATTGTGCTTTCTCCTTAATTCTAGGTTGGATGTTCCTTAATGATCTCTCACCTGTTACTTCTTGTCCTGCCTTAGGTGCTTTGGAGAATAGGTTGACCCCCTCTTCTTTGTTACAGTCCCTCAGTTATTCAGATAAGCTCACTTATTTTCTTCCTGGTTCTTGTGAGGCATAGCCTGTCCTCTGCCAGAAACTCTTCATATAAGGTAATTTGGTCCAGAACTCCAAAGTTCTTTTAACAGCATCATCATTTAAGTCAGTGATATACTTTTTGAATCCTCCACTTCCATTAGATGTTGTCATTCCATGTTCGATTTCATGCCTCATGCATAGTCTCTGTTATTGTTTTCGGGCTCTTTGTTGTCTCACTCATCCCTGTGTGTACACAATGTGTTTCTTCAGACTCAGGTTTCCATAGCAAGTTAAATAAAATGACATAGAAAATTAAAGTATAGGTCGTCCCCAAGTTTCAACCACAATTGAGCCCCAAATTTATGTTGCTAAGTGAAACATTCACTAAGTGAGTTTGTCCCATTTTACGACTTTGCCTGCCACATTTGTTAAGTGAATCACTGCAGTTGTTAAGTTACTAACGAGTTGGTTGAGTGAATCTGATTTCCCCATTGACTTCGCTTGTCAGAAGTCGTAAAAGGGGATCACGTGACCCCAGGGCTCGCTTTTGATTGTGCTGTATCAGTTTTTAAACAGCCACCTGTTCTCATTGCATTCTTAGAGGATGGCATTTCATAAACCTACCAAGAGACCAAGGTGTTCGAGAACCTGAGATTTCTGATATTATGGGCAGCCCCGTCCTTAAGCTCTAATGACACAATCCCTGATTTTGCAGCTTCTGTGGTTTTCCCCTTAACTCTGCACATCTGGTTTTTTCCTGTTTCTGTATTCCTTCCTAGAGCAAAAAATCTAGCGTAATTCCAAAGTTTCTGAACACATTTTCCCAGATTCAGGATGCCTGTGGCTCACCAGACAAACATCCAGGTTCTACATAGACTTATGCGGTTAAGCCTGCCAAATAGCCACATGTTTGCATTCCCGCCAAAGAAGAGTTAATAGCTCTAACAAGCAACCCACAGGCAGCTTCTGGGAACTGCTTCCTAGAGCAGGGCTCTCCAACCTTGGCAACCTTAAGCCTGGCAGTCTTCAACTCCCAGAATTCCAGAAGTTGAAGTCCGCCAGGCTTAAAGTTGCCAAGGTTGGAGACTCCTGTCCTAGAGGATAAACTGTGACCCCAATATGCAAATTCTTAAAAGTAAAAATGGATGGAGGAGTGTCAGCTTTTCTCCCCAACTGTACTAGATGAGGGTGCTTGCACCCAACTCAGAGGATGGTATCCCCATAATCATTAATACCCCCCCAATTGTTTCTTGCTTTTCTAAAAAAAATGTTTTGAAATCTAATATGTATTTAAAATTCAGGGTAGACTTGAGAATATGCTTCTGTTCTATTGGTGGCCAGAAAGCTACTTTTCAAGGCAGATTTGGCAAAACCTCCGATATCCAACCAGGTTAGTTTTCAAATGCTATACAGTACAAAATAATAATATACCTTAGATGTGCTTTACTAACTGCAAATGTCAGAAACTTTGGACTGTAGGTGTCTGTGGAAATTCTCAGTCATCCAGGTTATAGTTGTCCCAAAGGTGCTTTTTTTGTTTACTTTATTGTTATTGTACCTCATACAATGAAATTAAATGCCATCTTCAGTGTACATAATAACTATAAAAAT